GGGGTTTAGGAGTTCAGGGTTTAGGGGCTTAGGGGTTTAGGGTTTAGGGTTCAGGGGTCTAGGGTTTAGGGGTTTAGGGCTTAGGGTTTAGGGTTTGGGGTTTAGGGTTTAGGGTGCTTCCCCTGCCCGGCACCTTCCCGCTGTCTGCATCCTTGACGATCACTGACTGTGGGCCCTGGAGAGGAGCAAGTTTGTCTGTGCGTGCGTGCATGTGCACGTGCACGTGCGCGTGCGCGTGTGCCTGTGTGCGTGTGTCGGGGAATTAAATTACCAAAGTCAGGGGTCTGAACAATGCAGTCTAGCTCTCTTGTCACACCTATAATTTGTATACCAAACCCAACTTTATACAAAAACAGCTTTTCTAAAGCAGGCGCAGAGTGTGACCCGCTAGGAGGGGTTGCTTAGGACTTGGGGCTTTCGGGGCCTTAGGTCCCAAAGCCATATAATTGGGGTTTAGGGCTTAGGGTTTAGGGTATACCGGCCTCCTTTGGCTTTAATGATAGAACTTGGCGGTATATATTATAAGCATGTAGACTTATACAACGACAAAAGCAGGGATAGTACTGACTACGACGTCATATTCATTCTTGATATATATATATATATATATCTTTCTCTCTCTCTCTCTCTCTTCTTTGTTTCGCTCAATCAGCAAACAGATCAATAAACAACTCAACTACTAAATCAACAAAAATAGGTACAAACAAGTAGATAGATAGATGGATAGGTAGATAAATAGATAGGAAGATAGATAGTTAGATAGATAGATGGATACATAGGTAGATACATAGATAGATAGATGGATAGATGGATAGATAGTTTGATAGTTGAATAGTTAGATAGTTATATAGTTAGATAGTTAGTTAGATAGATACATACTGACATGCATGTGCAACATTCCCGTTGAATGGTTGCCTACAGGTTGAGCCATATCATAGTCTGGATCAGCCGATGGATCCAAACCCTGAAGCCTCAACCCGCAAATGGAAAACCGTAAACCCTGAATCTGCTCTGAAGTAGTTTAGGAAGAAAAGGCCCGAGGACAGCAACCTACCCGGACACTAAGATCTTACCTGGTTCAAGTTACCGAGTTTCTTCCTGTGGGGTCCCAAGGTTAGATTCTCCAACAAAAATACTACATGAAACTACATTCTAGGGCCTCTAGGGCCTCTAGGGTCTAGGTACTGCAAAGTCGCCACGCCATACAAATTAGGGTTTTTGCTAGCACAAGGAAATGCATGCATAAACTATGCCTTGTTGGTTAGTATCCCCATGTAAGCCTGTAGGTAACCCATGTAAGCACGTCAGACCATGAGGAAGATGACAGCCAAAACCCGAAACCCTGAACCACACAACATCCTAGAGCCACCCTAAGCCTTTTTCTTGCTCACTTTCAAAGAGCTCTGGAGCCGCGATCTAGCAATCGCAACACAGCATCGCGCTGTTTTGCAGTTGCCAGCTGGAGGTCGGTAGGTCGGTCGAAAAGCGGTCATTTTGGTTTAGGGGTTTTGGGTTTAAGGTTTAGGGTTTGGGTTTAGGGTTTATAGGGGCTTAGGGGTTTAAGTTTTTATTTATAAACCTTAACTTGCAACCGGATGAGTACGCAAGTGGTCGGTGCTAACCTGCTTCTTTATTCATGCTACAGCTCACTCCGCGTCAATGTTTGTATGATCACTGAACATTATGTTCTTCCATTCTGTAATCCTCACGTAGAAGTGACACAGCCCTTTTCACGCTGAGCATTTCACACTAGAGTGATAAGTTTATATATACATCTGTTGTTGTATCTTGAATGCGCTCACGCTGCTTCACAAATTGGCGCTTCACACTGAGTTGTTTCACACTGAGTTACTTCACACTGGCTTGCTTCGTTACACTGAGCGAAAAGCCGTCCGGATGATTTCTTAGTTGACAGGCGGGAGGTATCTTCACGCATGATCAATCATGAGTTCTCGCATATTTCCAAAACCGTCTCCGGCGACCAACCCTACGTTGCTCGGTTTTCCTGGGTATGGCAGATTGCGTCTTGAATGCTAAAGTTAGCAGTCTTTATGATGGAACAGGATTGCTTTCAGAGTTCAACAAATAAGAGTTTGGGGGTTAGGGGTTTAGTATGCTTCGAAGGAGACATTGAAGGGCGCTTGGAAGGGATCGATAAGGGGTCTGGAACGAGGGTTTGAGGAATGTTCTTAGGGGTCCTAGCAAATGGCCCTAAACCCTAAACCGTATAGACTCAAGTTTGGGGTACATTCCACTGCATGTAAAGATTGCAACGCAACACTGGCCATGTAAGGCCCCAAACACGCTCAGGCAATTCCTCATTTTAGGGTTTAGGGTTTAGTGTTCAGGGATTCAGTGCCAGTTGCGGGACGGTGAACACCGGCCTCCAGCAGCAATCGTGCGACGAGCCCAAGACCTTGGTGCTCAATTGCACACGCATGGCCTTCGTCAGCTTTGCCGCCGTCCACTTCGCGTGCACTTTTTGATCATGCCGGTCTTTACCGTACGTACTTGTCGATGAAACTTCGGGGGACCTCCTTCATCGCAAAGAGTGGGTAAGTGTCCGCGCCAGTGTGCGGTCAAGGATGGTCCCCCAGGGTCAGGTGAACCAAGGATCCCAAACACCTGCGGCATGTGCTTGCTTGGACGAACTGGGCCAGGTGCATGTTGCTCTAGGGCCGCATGGCCAGAGCCGATGCCGTCACCGTCGTCACACACTTCCGTCTGTGCACCGAGTTGCAAGAGAAAGCTGTGCTTTTCAACGTCTCCCTTGTCAAACGCCTGCACGTCCACTCAACCTGAAGTATCCGGATCCAAGGGTAGCCGGAAGAGAGCTTCAACCTGAGAGCTTGACGAACGTAGGGGAGCCTCCTCCTAGCTGTGGCGACTCCCAAAGCCTCCTTTGGCGCCAAGAAGACATCTGCCTAGTTGTGGCTGTAGGTTATCTGTCATACGTGGTGTGTACCGACCGACCTGCCTTGATCGCAACTTCCGGATTGACAGAGTCACTCAGTCTCTTGATTGCAATCCTCCGCCTGCGGAAGTCGCTGTTGCGGCCGAGCGGAACACAGACGGCGAAGAATACCTCGAAGCGGCGATTGGATCTGAGATCCAACCGCCGCTTCAAGGGTGCTCGCCTTCTGGACCCCGCTCGGCCGCAAAAGCGCGGACGGCTGCCTGAAAGGCAAGCTGGTCCGTCCTTCGGCTCTCTGGGATGCTGGTCAGTGCAAGAGCGGTTCCTTTAAGGGTACTGTATACGGGTTCTGCGGTGTTAGGGTGAAATCTTCCCCGGAGAAGAGCGTGATGTGCAGCATTCTGCAAGACTCTCAACCCCTAAACCCCTAAACCCTGAACCCCTAAAACGCTAAACCCTAAACCCCTGAACCCTAAACCTGTGGAGTTGGAGCTGCAGCCTTCTTGTCCCAAGATTCCCGGGCTGACGTGCTTTGTGAAAGGCCCGAACCTGCAGAGCCCGATACCCCTAATATACCACAAAGTTACAGCGGGGTTGATACATTGATTACGGTATATACCTTATTGATGATGAGTTATAAGGCACGAAGCTGTAAAAAATGACCGGCGGGACTGTTCGCCGGCGAGCCGAAACATCAAGCAACGAGCCGAAAATCATACTCGAAGCCTTCTGGATTCCTTTTCGCCGTTTCGGTTTAGGGTTTAGGGTTTAGGGTTTAGGGTTTTCGGTTGAGGGTTTAGGGCGTAGGGGGCTTTGAGGGCTTCGCGTTCGCCGAAATAGGAGGCTAAGCTAGGGGCTTGGGGCGGTTTAGGGGCGCTGTGGGTGCAGCGCTCAAGCGGTCAAGGTTGTAGAGTCTAGGACATGCAGTATTCCTGATGAACTGTCTTACCTATACTTGGAGGATCATGGGACTTGGTAAGTAAGGTTATAAGTCCCTCAATTGGGGTTATAAGTACATAAAAGTATAGTTACCTTAGTTATAACCCTGCTTATACTAAGTTCCATGGTCCTTTAAGCATATCCGACATGGTTTCGTAACCTGGCGCGAGAGAACTATTAGAATCATTAGAACAAGGCACATGGGGGTACTGACAGATTCGAGACAGCATGAGGTCTGAAGTGCCATCATCCGAAGCCCCAGGAACCTTTACAATTCCGCGGCGAATATGAGGCCTACAGAAGCCCTGCAAAACACCCACAAAAGAGTGCACAACAAGAACACCACCATAAGCTCTCCGGAGTTGCTGAGATTCCTTGCCAACACAAGCGGATCTGGTGCGTGTAGCAAGATGGTGCATAAGTCGGGGCTGTGGTGATTAGAAGAAGTTTCTTGGACATCTTCTAGTGAAACTATACATGGACGTATAGAGCTACCCTGGACCCGAAAACCGTAATATCTGAACACCCAAAGCACTACACCCCCAAGCTCTAGACTCCTCAGCCCCAAGCACTTAGAGAACCCCTGTAGAACCTTCGAGAGCCTTACTTGTTGAAGCCTGATAGAAACCGTATAGAAGAATAACCTTCACAGAACCTCAAAGCTCTAACCCCAAATCCCTGAACCCCAAACTTGAAACCTTAGTCAAACCCCAAACATTGAAAACAAAAAACGAAAACCTTAACCCTAAAACCCTCAAGCCCTATAAACCCCAAAAACCTAAACCCAAACGTCCCCCTAAACCCTAAACCCTACACCCTTCGACCCTATATACACCGCAGAAAATACCCTAAACCCTGAACCCTAAACTCTAAACCCTAAACCCTTAACCCTAAACCCTAAACCCTTAACCCTTAAACCCTATATAAACCCAAGAAACCCTGAACCCTGAAACCCTTAAACCGTTGTTAAACCCTACATAAACCCAACAAAAACCTGAACCCAAAACTCTAAACCCTAAATCCTAAACCCTAAACCCTAAACATCCCTGGGGCCTGCTCGGCAGCCTCCCTCGCGAAGTGCCTCTCGACGTGGAGCCCCGCCTCCTGGAACGAAGGCGGCTTTAGGGTTCGACAAGGGCTCCTTTAGGGTTTAGGGTTTAAGGGTTTAGGGGTTTAGGGTTCGGGTTTAGGGTTTAGGGGTTTAGGGGTTTAGGGTTTAGGCTTTAAGATTTAGGATTTAGGGTGTAGGGTTTAGGGTTTGGGGGGTCCAGGGGTTTAGGCTTCGATCAGGGTCTATAAGGTTTTCTGAAATGGTCTACGGTTTAGGGTGTTATATGGTTGTAAAGAGCTCTAGTTCCTTTGTAGGCCAGCATTGGTTTCTGAAGCAACCCTACTTGGAGGATCATGGGGCTTAGGTTCTAAGTACCTGGATCGGGGTCAGAAGTAAATATGAGCATAGTTACTTCACTATTTATAACCCTAGTTACTGAGTCCCATGGTCCTTTAATTAAGTCTAGTTCCTGAGCCCCCTGATCCTTTAAGTAAGGTAAACCGGGGTCTATTTGGGCGCCCAAGGTGTTGACTTTGAAGATAGCTTTGAGGGTTGAGGGTTTCGGGGGTAGGGCTATGACCTAGGTAGCTATATTGTAAGCGTGGCTATTTACCATATCTCTGCCTACTAAAGCTACTAGAGACACCTAGAGCCCTCAAACACGCTTTGTAAAATCAAATCTGGCCAATAGAACTTGCATTGAGTCCTTCTAGACTCTTTATATAACCCTCTTAAGCTATCGCACAAAGCTCACAGCACCTTACCAGAACCCTCCTTGGACCGAAGCCGCCTACCGTAATCCTCCCAGCATCCTTCGCCCTCTCCGATCCTTGAGGCGTGTGGCAGTCGTGGCGCGAACAGAGGATAGGATCACCTCCTTGGTGACCTTTGGGTTGCTAGGGCGCTGAGGAAGTAGGGAATACTTACAGGATCATGGGACTTAGTAGGTAGGGTTATGACTGAGGAAACCATACTTATACTTACTTATAACCCCAATTAAGGGACTTATAACCTTACTTACTAAGTCCCATGATCCTCCAAGTAAAGGGTTTAGGGTTTAGGGTTGCAAGGTTCTTACAAGAAGCTTGCAGGAGCGGTCTCGGACACCTTGGCTCACACGAGCAGGAAGAGTGCTGCCAGCTGTGCATGCAGCTCCCGCGCTTAAACAAACACGATGAAGCTTGCAACCCCCAAAAAACCCAATCCACAAACACCCTAGCCACCCAACAAAAAGACTTGACCCTCATCCCCAGCATAAACCTCAAAAAAACAAACACAAACTCTACGCCCTACAGAAACCTGACCCGAAACACTAACAAACACCACAAAAACTCGACAAACAACTGCCCCTAAACCCCTAAACCCTAAAACCGTGAAACCCGGACCCCGGTACTTCGAGCTTCGAAGCCCCAAGCATCACTGCTTAGACTGTGGAGTTTAGGATTTAGGATTTTGGGTTTAGGATTTAGGGTATGGAGTTTACGGTTTAGGGTTTAGGATTTAGGGTTTAGGGCTTGGGGTTCAGGCTGCATTTGGGGTTGAGGGTTTGGGAATCAGGATTTATGCCCCGCCCTACTCTAAGTACTAGGGCTCCGATGCTACATGTCGAGCCTCTTTGATTACGCCGAACACTAGAGAACAACCCAGTTAGGGGAGTCGAAATCAAGGCTGGGAGGCTCCGAATGCCTTCATTGTCACTCCTTGAACCCTAAGCCCTAACCCCTAAACCCCTAAACCCTAAGCCCTAAACCCCAAACCCCAAACCCCAAACCCTTAACCCCGAACCCCTAAACCCTAAACCCCAAA